AATTTTATCGCCAAATTAGTGCATGTCGTGTTAAGTCAAATTACAAAACATCAGTATATTTCTTACGGATTGATCGCTCTATTGAGATGTTTGGCCGATCCCATAGATTTCATCGTTAGTATGCGAGAAATTATTGTTGTTATAACGCACTATGAGTAGTGAGATATAATAAATTAATAATGTGTCAAAATATAAAAATTGGTCTTACGTGATCTGTGAGCTTACTTGTAATGTTTGCCGCTTCCCAACTAGACCGTACTAACGTAACATGACCTCTCATTTCCAAATATACTCATTTTGTAATTATGTGTGTTTATATAGTTTAAGTGTGTTTAGGATTTTAACGATCTGTTTCTCTTGTGTGTTTTTTATTATTATTACATGTTTGCTAGTTTTTCCAATATATCAAAATAAGATTCGCTAAGCAACTCGGTATCTCTATTTAGATTTAACCCATTTTTTGTTCCTTAATGTGTAACATCTCGGAAATGAGTCTTTTATGATAATTAGTTTTACTGTCTAAAATTTTAACGTTGTCTCAATCAAAAGAATGATGTTCATTTGATATGTGATCAGAGATTACCGAATATCTTGTCAAATCTAACTTTATGTTGTTAACGTGTTCTTTCATTCTAGTCTGCAATTGTCTCTTCGTTTGGACATAAGAAAAGTTGCAATCTTTACAATTGATCTTATAGACTACATTTGACGTACATGGGTGTTCATTTTTATCTTTTTACGTCTTAATAATTTTATCGAGTTTATTGATACATCTGTATCCTGTTATGAGTTCCGTATTATTTACCGAAAAGACAATTATTTCTGAAATTTTATTGATATATATAGGATAACAAAGAATTTTTTTAGCACTGGTTCTTTTTCTGAGTTGCCTATTTGTCTTTTACTGTGTCTATTTAAGATACTTTTTTTTGGAAATAAGATGCCCTATCCGATAGTTGATTTTATTAAAAATGAGATCCAGGGGATAACCGTTGCTTCTTAATATGTCAATAATTAATATCAAGTTTTTATTAAAAAATTGTGAATATGATAATAGTAGACATCTATCAACTAAGTTATAAATTATGCCGATCTTATGGCAAAGTGCGTGGTGTGAAAAGAAAGATAAGGTTTTTCCTGAAAAGGTCTTTTTTTGATACCAATCTATATGTATTATGTTGTTCGTTATTATAATAGACAAATCTAAAAAGTTTAAGCAGCGGCCAACTTCCTGTTCTACGGTGAATTTTAATCTGTCGTGGTATTTATTAAAACTCGACAATCCGAGTCATGTTCTCACTAAAAGTGGTTAACAAAATGTCATCGACGTATCGGAATTCAAAACTGTGTCTTCTATCTTGCATCACTATGTCGGCTATAATCGGAGACAATGGAGAGCCCATGGGAGTCTCATAAGTTTGCTTATAAATCTTATCTTTGAAAGTAAAATAGGTGGATGTTAAAATAAAATTAATCCCTTCTATGAATTCTTTATTTTTGTGATCTTTGTGATGTGTTCCCATCTATCATTAATACCATTAATTGCGAGATTTAGAGGTACGTTAGTAAAGAGTGAGACCACATCTAACGAGAACAATAACTCGTTGTTATCAATCCTTTTGCCAGAAAGCAAGCTGTACAATTCAAAGCTATTGTTAATATTGTTACGTCTCGGGTCGCGGCTGCAAAGAAACGAATGCAGGGCTCGGGCCCTTCCACGAGACACGATCGCTATTACGGGTACGCGAATCTAAGCGATTCTCCCCGGGGATACCCGCGATCTGAGGCTATTTGCGCTGGAAGAAAGGAACGCGTGGTGATCGAATTATGATGTAGAATCTATCTGTGACTCTACTGTTACGACGATAGTCTCGTCGTCCGCTCTCAGCGAGACACTGTTTGGATCGCGTAAATAGTCTTCGTACTTGAATTGACAAAGTTCACACAAGTACCCGGCTTGCGTGAGGGTGAGGCGATTGCTGCAAATTTCGCAATTTATCCCAACGGGTATTCCGCCTATAACTAACAAAAAGTAAAAATAAAAGTTTATAAAAATAAATCAAAAAACTGTATCAAATAAGTTACAAAATATTATCAAATCCAAACAAAAAATAATAATGAAAGGTTGTGCTATTTGACGATAAAAACATAATAATATTTTAATAAAAAGTTAGACATTATGTGTTTAACTTTTTACATAATAAAATGTTAAACATCATGTTTTCCATTTTTTAGATAAATATACTAAAAAAAAATTTTTAAATATTTTTATTTTATTTTTTAATTAACCTAAAAGGTTTTTTTTATAAATAATTTTTTTAATTTGAAACATTTAAAAATAATATTTTTCTTTAAAAATTTGCACTATAATTAAAAAAAAATAAAAAATTTTAATTGCTTGAAAATTAAAGTTATTGAAAAAAATTTTTTTTTTTTTTTTTTTTTTAAAAAAACTACCAAATTAAAATTAAAAAACCTAATTTAAAATCCAAAAAATGTGTAAAAAGTTATGTTACAAATATCATTTTCGAAAATTAATTAAAACGTATTACGCTCACTATGTGCGTAAGTAATTAAACAATAAAATATATAAAAAATGTTTTTGTATAATTCTTATTTATGTTTTCTATGAATGTACTTGTATATTTAGATTTTTTTAGAAAGTGTATTTGTTTTATATTATTACTCATTATACAATTACAATAATGATATTGACTGTTTCGATAATGACTTCTTGGCCAAGAACATCTTACTACAGTATATTATTGAACCCGATATCAATTTTGTTAAAGAAGTGTACTATTTTCGAATTCGTCGTCGTATAACACTTTTAAACCACGAATATTTAAATTTTTGATAGTAATGACAATGATTATGTATCAAAGATTGCAATTTTATTATATTATTTCGTTCATAATTTATATTACTTTCAGTAAAACCGCATCTAATCTTTTAAATTTTTATTCTGAATCATAAACATCTAATGGTTGTATTTTCCCTGTATTCCTTTCTATTATCATAGTGTAATATGTGAGGAGTTAAATCCGAAATCATATTCCCAGTCCATATCGATAAGAAGAACGCTATTAGGACCAATGTTTGCGAAATAATTCTAACCACATTTTAAAATATCTGAATATAAATGTTAATTTAATAGTTTTTTTATGATATTTTGTTAAATAAAATAATGTTAAAAAAATAATTATAAAAGGAAAATACCTGATGATTTTAAGATTTCGATGTACAATAACATTTTCTTTTAAATAAATTTTCTTTACTGGAATTTAATTATCTTTTAATACAATAAATATTCATTACAGATATTATTTTGTAGTATATGAATGATATATATTAAGAATACTTTCTTTTTTTTAGTATCTTAGTGAAGAATTATTTGATTGAATTGTAAATATTTTCAATCCAAACGTTCAATAAGAGTATATTTAAAAATCATCAGCTGATTTTTGAAATATAATGTTATTTAACAAATTCGTAATATCTTACATTCACACTTAAATATGCATCCAATATGTAAATATAGGATTTAATTTCACTATTTCTTCACGTAAACCCATCAAATCATATCATGAACCAGAATTATTTCAGTAAATTTATCAAAATTTATTAAGATAATTTTCTGTACGAAGATTGTATTTATTTTCGAAAAATGAAAAAATTTATTTTGTAACTCTTAAGGAATTTGCAATTTTTCATTATATACTTCTTTTTATAAGAACTATATTTTATCATCTGAACAATATTTTAAACTATTCATGCCAATTTTCGAGAATTATTTCAAAACTATGTAATTTATAATTCATCGAGATATATTTCTTCCGTTGCATGAAAAACGTATGTAATATTTTTTTAATGTTTTAATAACTTCAGTTAGGTTTCTGTTAAATACATCAGTCATATATATGTGTATGGTCAATCACAACTGTCTATTCCACTCTTCTGAAAGAATGGCTGTGATTAATGACCAATGACTTATTATTTATTCCAGAAGATTAAACCTGTTTGGTTTGAAAACGTCATAAGTTTGCGTCCAAGATACACACACATACACAGCACACATAGAATTGTAAAACTGGAATAAAAAGTTTACATATTATATCTGTTAAAAATTCATATAGAATTTATTATATATATACATATGTATATGTTTGCATATATATTTGATATTTTTTTGCATCATCAAAATCGCTTGTACAAACATTATACATATATGTAACACAAATACAATACAAAAAGAAAGATAAGGAAATAATTACCTAATCTGATATTATAATCTGATACTATATACAGATGAGTGTGGTAAAAATCTGCTAATAGCAGATTTTGAGATCATTTGAAGGCGATTTTTCCTTAACGAAAATGTCCAGCCATCAATAATTTTCGAGTTATAAACGATTGAAAACTTTTTGCAAATTAAATTAAGTTAAAAATTATCAAAATTACATTCTTTATTAGTTAATTTAAGATAGAGTTTACTATATAATAGAATTTTAATTTAGTTTAATTATAGAGATATATGTGATGATAAAAATTGAAACCTGTAAAACATGATCTCTTAACATTTTCGTTGAGGAAAAATCATCTCCAAATGATCTCAAGAATCTGCCATTAGCAGATTTTTCACCAATTACAGGACACCTTGTATATTTGATATTAAAATAAAAATAAAATAAAATATTAATCAGAAAAACAAAAAAAAATGGAATTAATCATTTGGAAAAAAAAAAATTTACATTTGTAACAAAAGAACTTAAAATTAAAAATAAAAGAAAGTTATTTTAACACAAATTGCTATCAACATTGCACATCAGTTTGTACCATATTGCTAAAACAGAGTTATTAACGCAGAGTTATATAACGCAAAAGACCAGCAATTATTAGTCAAAAATCATTAAACTATCTATTGGAACATTACCAGAAAAGTTGTGTGCGGACTAATAATTATTGTATTAAATATATAAATATGTATATAAAGACAAACATTAAATATTTATCGGTGTTTGCTTTTGTAGGCGTTCTTTCGCGTGTGCTAGCCATATTTTTATGGGATTAGAAATTTGTTCGTCTGTAGCATTCTTGTGTACTTTTCTTATTACACCTAAAAAAACATTTTAAAAATAATTTTTATTAATAACATTGAAGAGAAATATATTTTAGATTTAATTTAGAATAATTAAAATATAAAACTTTATAAAAATCTTTAAAATGTTCAACTTTTATATATTTCTTTTGCTTCATTAAATAAAATAAATAATATTAAATATTATTAAAATGATATTCGTATGTGAATAATATTATCTTTATTCAACTTATAAAATAATTTTAATTAATTTAACAGTAATACAAAAAATACAAGTAATATAAATTTATATTCATAAATACTTTCTATTATTTATTACTTACACATGATTATTTTGCAGATATTTAACTGCGAAAAATTTCTTTTTTTTTGCTCCATACCAACTGTATTGCACTGCTAATTCATTAGAAAACAATTTCTTCATTATCCGTAAAGAAGAAGTTTTTACATCTTGACTTGTCACATGAGTCAATTGTTTGATCTAAAATTATGAAAAGTTGCGTTATAAAAATTTTACAAAAGATTATATTTGTATAACAATGTATTAATGTGGAATATATTTGTAAAATATTTTTTAAAGTATTCTATATAAAATTACTTTGTACATTAATATAAAATTTATTCTAAGTAATTATTTGTTAAAATATGTAAAAACGAAGCAATACAGAGACTATACGCGGTTGGTAGTGCGTGAATTTCGTTGAAATTTAAGATTTTTACGAAACTTAATTTTATGTGCACACAAGGCACCGGTGTTTCTTAGATATACAAAGACTAAACGCAATTCGCGATCTCAATTTGAGATTCTAATGGACAAACGAAACTCGTTAGGTTTCGTTCGTTCGTTAGAATCTCGAATCGAGATCGCAAATCGCGTTTAGTTTTGGTATATCCAAGAAACACCGGTGCTCTGTGCACTTAAATTTTTTAACCTTATATACTAATTGTTTTATTTCATCTATTTTTTTTAATTATCGTACAATATATTTATTTTTTCTACTAAGCTGTTCTTTCTTTTTTTGAAAGACATTTTATAAAATTGAAATAATAAAAAATTTGACTTACCATCTGATTTCGATAAAGTGAGTCATTATTTAATTTTATCTCCACTGCCTGAAGATCATCTCGATTTTTAAACGGTAAATCTTGAAAAATATCCACAGTCTCTTCTTCCATGAAATTAGCAATTGGAAACTTCTCTAAAAGAAGTTTTTGATTCCTTTCAATAGAATTTATTTTTAATTCTAAGTTTATTAATTTTCTTATTACAAATCTTTGGAATGCTTTGTGAGATGCTGTAAAATACAATATTTAAAACAATTTATAAATATCTAGGAAAATAGGTTTTGTATACAGTTGCGCACGCACTCAGCATATATATATGTATATATGTATATGTATGTGTATATATATATATATATATATATATTGTATACACACATATATATATATAAGATGATACGGTATTATATTATTTCCTTTGAAATCTTACAACTGTTTCAAATGTTTTTCCATATCTTTCATAATTTGTCGAGTGCACATACATAACTGAAGATTATAGTTTTAGTACCTTGATAATAATTCAAAGTTGATTTTGACAAAGTTGAGTTGGTATTGTTCCTCATTTGAATGACTTCTTCTCCTTTTATCTCATCATTATCCTCATTTAGATTCGTTCCAGATAATTGTTCCGAGAGTATATCGGGCTCATCATTAACATCATCTTCATCATCTACATAATCTTCATCATTTACGTCATTATCTACATCATCTTTATCATCTGCATGTATCTTTTTAGATGTACTAGGTTTAGGTATATCTAAAAAAATTATTTTATTGCTATATTTAAATGTAATTTTAATATTGTAACCAAAATATTATGTATTTAATTTAGTCATTTAATTCTTTATATTATATCTACAAATGTGTGTGTGCCATATAATATAAAATAATTTGATTTATTTAAATTATGCATTTATTATTATGTACATTATATGCTAGGTTTTTATATATTTAAAATTCCATTTATATCATATTAAATTACAGTTATATAATAGTATAAAAAAAGAAGAAAAATATAATAAAATGCATAATTTATATTTCTTGCTTCTTTACTTTGTAAACATATATATACCTTTTACATTGTAGTTGCAATCATATCTGTCCAATGTTGATTATGAGTTTTTATGTTTCACTGTTAATTCTAAACAAAAAGTTAGTTTTCTTTATTGTTTTACATAATTAAAATTTGCAGCTTTAAACTAATATTTTATTCAGAAATAAATATTTTTATCGGCTCTCAATATAAATAATATAAGTATGCTGTCTTCTAAGCTGGGCAATAGAGCCAAGGAAACGAAACGAAAAATTAATTAAACGGAACTGTATCTCAATTTGAGATCCCAAAGTTCCACATATAAATTAATTTCGAACTTACATATGGAGAAATAAGCGAGAAATCCCGCTTCAGCGACTTTTCGGACCTATATTTTTCTCGCTTATTTCTCCATATGTAAGTTTCGAAATTAATTTATATGTGGAACTTTGGGATCTCAAATTGAGATACAGTTCCGTTTAATTAATTTTTCGTTTCGTTTCCTTGGCTCTATTGCCCAGCTTAGAAGACAGCATACTTATATTATTAATATTTTATTATTATTAGAATTATGCACTTGTGGGCATTTTTTATAAACTCTCATAAGAGAGGTAGAGAAACTTTGTTTGACAAAGAGATTATCGGATCTCCGTGTTTTGTTTGTCGACCTCGTATCAGGTATTATTTATTTTCGAGAGCGTTCTGAACGATCCTTTGTCTATCAGAGAAACCGAAAACACATCTCTGCTCGATAAACGAAGGTAACACTGATTGGTCCGATATTTCGGGTGGGAAGGTTTTAACGCCGGGTATATATATATGCCGACTTTTGGGAATCGTCAGAGGTTCTCTCCAGCTTGAACATCTTGAGTCAGATCTTCTCTTAACATCCAAAGACTTCTTCTCTTTAACTCGGAACGGACGGCGAAATTGGAACTCCCAGCTCGGAGGATTGAATCGTTCACGGCACGACTTGAAGACGTATAAGTTTCGCAATAATAGTGTACATATACATGCTTAACGTTGGAATAAATATTCAGACTTGATCTATCCTGACTATACAATACAATCTCCCATCCAGAAGATTATCCTTTCTAAAAGAAAAGAAAAAACCCCATCACTCCTTCACACTATTAATTATTAAAATTTTTCAATATTTTTTTCTTAATATTATTCTTCTGACTATTAATATAATTTTTTATGCTTTCACCTTTCTGTGACAATTTTGCCTTTTTCATTTTTCAGAGGTATGTACAGGCCTAACAGGCATTTTTGGAAGCTGCAAAATAAATGAATTTTCGTCGCATTCATCATCACTATTTAATATAGAAATTTTCATCAAATTGCTTAGCAGCTCTAATTTTTTCTTGTTTTTTTTTTAATACTTCCTCTTTGTCAGTACCAGAATTGATATCTGATAGTTCTTCAGCATCTTTTAATTTTCTTCTTGCTAATTCATAGTTTGCTGAAAAAAATAATATACATTTTGTTAATAATTGCTTCATTGTATTATTTAAAATATCTATTAATATTATACAGGTGTCTTAGTATAATCGTATCAATGCTTCAAGGACGGATCAAGGTCATCATTTTTGCAAAGTTCCAATTTTTGTCATTATGTTTCTTTGTAACAACCTTAAATTAAATTTTATTAAAGTAAACTCCATCTGGAATTGACTGAAGAATATAATTATGGTAACCTTAAACTCCACAAAGTTTGTGAAAAATCCGTTTTTTTTCAATTGCTTATAACTCGAAATTCTGATTTCTCAACATTTTTGCTAGAAAATCATCTCCAAATTGGTTAGAGAATCCGCCTTTAAGCATTGATAGGGTTATTCTGAGACACTCTATATATATTATATATATTTTAATATTTATAGTGCATATTCAAAACGCGCTTTTTATCAATAAAT